TTTTTGTTTAATTTTTAGAGAAATCAGTTCACATATGTTGTGGCAATTAGACTTTTCAGGACTTCAGGGTTTAATTGATTTAAATTCTACATTCGATAGGGTCACTTTGCCATTTATGAGTTTTGTGCTACTTAGAACATTTTGAATTTTCAGATCTTTATTGTTATCTTTGTTCTCAGGGTAACTTGACACATTTAACTCTGATTTCAACTTTCAAGTCAAGTGTTTGGATCTTTACAAGGAGACAGTTACGATGGATAGAATAAGTGATTTGCCTGATGAATTGCTCTTGAAGATATTGTCATCACTTCCTGTAAATGATGTTGTGGTCACAATGGTTTTGTCCAAACGATGGAAGCCTCTTTGGATGTCAGTGCCAAAGCTCAAATACAATGATAGGAATCTAGATATTGAGTACGGCCCATTTTCGCGCTTTGTCCACCGCTCTCTGTTACTCCATGAGGCTCCAGTAGAAAGATTAAGCTTCAAAATAAGTCCAAGATTCAATGCTGTAGATATTGGGACATGGATTGACCTCGGAGTGACGCGCTGTTTATGTAGGCTGGACATAGTTCTTTCTTACCAGCACATGCCTATCAGACTGCCAGAGAGTTTGTATACGTGCAAAACACTTGGGTACTTGGAACTTTCTGGTGCGGCGGTTCTTGTTGATGTTCGTGATCCGGTCTTTCTTCCGTCTCTCGTCACTTTGTTCCTCCTAGATGTGACGTACTCAGGCGAAGAATCTTTCCATAGGCTTTTGTCTGGTTGTCCTATCGTTGACACTTTGGTTGTGCGACAAGTTGGAGGAGACAATCTCAGGACTTTTACAGTTAAAGTCCCTTCCTTGCTGATATTAGGCATATCTAGAGAAATAGAGGATATGCAATATCACAATCAAAGGGTTGTGATAGATGGCCCGTCCTTGATATGGCTAGCAATTACAGATTACAATCAAGGCCTTTTTTTGATTGAGAATACCCCTATGTTGGAGACAGCGAGTCTTGATCTTGTGTCTAACAGTATTGAAAAGCTTAAGGGATCTCTTACCTCGGTCAGGCAACTGCGGTTTTGTGTCTTGATTCCTAAGGTAAATCCACTGTTCTCTAGAGTCTGCTTCTTATTGTTCTTGAACCTGAAGTCTGGTCTTTCTTTCTCTTGTATATGCAGCCTGTGTACCCCAAAGGAACAACCTTTCATGGACTTATAAGATTGGATGTATGTACATGCACAGAATGTTGGCTGGATCTACTTATGTCTCTGCTACGAGATTCCCCTAAACTACGACTCCTCAAACTCTCACTGGTAAATAAACCTTTTTGCCTAAACTAATGATTAATCAAAAGTGCCACTGTTTTTCATGCTCTTATTGTGTGTGTGTTTTTAATATCTCAGGATCATCATCTGGCAGATGGTCCGCGACCTGTTTGGAATAAGCCGAGTTCTGTTCCTAGATGTTTCGCATCCAATCTGAAAACTATTGAGTGGAGTAACTATAGAGGGGGTGAAGAAGAGAAAGAGCTGGTGAAGTTTATGTTAAGATATGGTTCTTGTTTAAAAACTGTGAGTATCTCCTTCGATCCAACCACTCTGAAACAGAAGTTGAGGATGACTCCGAAACGGAAATTAAGCATGATCAAGGAGATAACTTTGTTATCCAGAGCCTCACCAACATGTCAGCTCTTCTTCAATTGAAATTATTATTATATAACTCAGAAGAACCTGTCAATGGACCTTATCTTAAAAGAGCTATATGTAGTAGTCTTCTATTGTTTTATGTATGTTTCAGAAATGTGATGTTTTTTTTTTAATCCTTTGAAGATTATTAATGTCGTTTTGTTCGTGGGATAGTAAACTGGAATCCGAATTTATTGCCATTATTTCCGAATAATGTATGAAGTTTGTTTTTAATGCCAAGAAAATTATAGCTTCGTTAGTTCATAATATACTGTTTAGGGTTCGAACTTGGAAGGTTAGCAATTTCTTACTCTAATCCTTAAAGTGGATGATTTTTGTATATTTTTTTCAATCTCTCTTTTGTGGGTTTTGTGTAATACTTACGATTTCCCGGTGAAGTTGAAAAAGGAACAAACTTTGAAATCGATTGTTTCTGGGTATCTTTGTACAGATTGGGGAAAATTGAATCCTGATTTAGGATTTTTTTTCTTCTCTCTTTGTTTATTGACAGCAAAATCATTGGATTAAACTTTGGAGAGTTTTCTATGGACAGAATCAGTTTGTTGCCCGATGATTTCCTCTTGCAGATACTTTCATTGCTTCCTACAAAAGATGTCTTGAGCACAAGTGTTTTGTCAAAAAGATGGCGAAATGTTTGGAAGTTAGTGTCTAAACTCGAGTACATCGACATTGTGCGGTGTGTGGACAGATCGTTGCTATTAAATACTGTTCCGGTCTTAGATAGTTTGCATTTCAAGTTTGGTAGGGAATGCAGCGAGATAAATACCGGATTTTGGGTTAAGATTGCGGTGGAGCGAGGTTTGCGTGAGCTGAATTTCGATTATGGTCATTTTGTTGATCATGCGCCTACCCGTTTGCCTCAGAGCTTGTTTACATGTGGCACCCTCGCGGTACTTAAACTCTCCAATGTATCGCTTGCGGATGTTGTATTCCCCGTTAGTTTTAAGTTCCTCAAGACATTGCACCTTCGTTGGGTGATTTACTCAGACGATGAATCCCCTCGAAAGCTTTTATCAAGCTGCCAAGTTCTTGATGACTTGGTCATGCACCGAACCATGGATGACAATGTAACAACCTTCTCTATCGCGGTGCCTTCACTTCATTTACGAGACTGAAACTGAGTTTGTGTTGAATGCTCCTTCTTTGAAGTGTTTAGAGATTTTAGATGGCGCTTACGAATGTATGGTTGAGAAAATGCCTGAGATCTTGGCTGCTAATGTCGAGGCTAGGTGTTGGAATACCGACAATCTCCTCGGTTCTCTTACATCACTCAAACGCCTCTCGCTATGCTTACCCTCAGAGGTAACTCAATAAACAGTTAAATTTTCCTTGGAAGTAGCTTCTATCTATACCTGTTACATACTATCTTTTAGTCTTTGTGTATACTATATGCAGTCGCCGTTTCCTACTGGTAAAAACTTCCATCAGCTTGTAGACTTGGAGTTTTGCACATGTGATACAGAGTGGGATCTACTTATGAATATTCTCAAACATTCTCCGAAACTACGAGCTCTCAAACTCAACGAGGTAATTTTATATTTTAAACCCTTATAACTCTGTGGGTTATCATCTCTTACATTTTTGTCTGGTCTATTGTATATATTCAGAGACATGACAGTGTTCTTGGAGAAGGAATGTATCGTTGGGATGAGCCAAGTTCTGTTCCTGAAACGTTTATCTTGAAACATGCTTGTCGTTTAAAGACTGCGATTATCTCACCACGAGCCACCACTTTGGGGAAGAAACATCGAATGCTCACAGAGTTGGCATTTTTGTCTAGAGGTTCAACAACATGTAACCTCGTGTTCGGTTGAACCATATGTTTCTGAAGCAGTCTCTAAACCAGTTATGTTGCATCTCTTAAAACCAACCATTTGCTCTGTTTTTTTCTCGTTTGTCTTCTTCGTTGAGTCTTTTCTTCTATGTTGACTTTCGCTGTTATTGCAAGTAAATTACAGTTAAGACTTTGTACCCAATTGTCCTGTTCTTGAAGATTTTAGATTTGTTTATAGACCGAATTTGTCATGACCCACTCTTATTTTCAAAATTGGAATGCCTTCATTGAAGATATTATCTTTGCTTGACTCATCTAAAGATTCCGGAATCACAGGACTCATGTTAGATGTTCCTTGTCTGAAATACTTGCACATTGTAGATCGTTCAAAAGATCTCAAAATCATTGGTTTTCGCGTTCTTTGATATTTACTAAAGATTGCAACCTTATTGATGATCCTCAAGAGTCATCCTGTTACAAATCCCCGGCCTCATAAGAATCAACCGGGCTCTGTTCTAAGATGCTTCTCCTCAAATCTTGAAACTTTGGAGTGGATAAAGTACCAAGGAACACTAGACGAGAAAGAACTTTCGACATCTATCTCCAACTGCAGTTTGTTTAAACAAGGCGAGTTTCACCGCTAAATCCACCGATCCCGAAACTGAAGATGCTCCTGGAGTTATCTATCTCACGAAGGGTTTCGTCCACTTGTGAGCTTGTGTTCAACTGAATGTTCATGCTGATCACTCTCAAGACCAAAACTTGTTAAATGCTGCTCACCAACGACTCTTCCTCTTGGGATCATTTGGCAAAATTTATCTTATTATGGTCTTTTTAAGTAACAGTTAGTGTCTGCAACTTCTCTTTTTGGAGTTTCTAGGTTTGATGCTAAACTATGTACTTTTCATGTTCAACGGTTCATGAGTCCCATACTTTATGAACAATGCCTACTGAGTCACAAATAGGTTTGGATGTTAAACCCAGAATCCTGTCTCGTCTGAAAAATGTAAAATTCAAATTGGTAAAACACAAAGGAAAGTCATGGTCGTGAGACCTTTATTCATCAAACCAAAATCAAACAACATATCCCATGCAATAGATGGAAATACAAAACCCAAATCCAAAGCATTACTCATTTAGTCTATTCTCACATAGAGAATTATAATACTTGACATCAACTGACTCAAGTGACTAATTTATTTAAAAAAACAAAAACCCAAAAGAAAACTCCATAGATGTCGCAGAACAACATGATAGCTACCAAAGGTGAAGTTGTAGCCAAGACCAATTCACTTATCCACCTCTTTCTTCACTCTTCACCTGTTTTAATACCATTTCAGAGAGTAAGCTTTAAGTCTTTCAAAGACGAAACCAGGTTCAAGAGATCATGTACCTTTGGGAAAGATCCTTCTTTCGTTTCTTTTCGAACAATCTTCTGCGTGACCCCGAGAGCCCCCGCAGGCTGGTTCAGGCTTGGTGGTGGCTGTCCCTCTTCCTGAGCCAGCGATGGTGAAGATTCGATTGATTGCTATTCAAAATCATCATCATAAACCTCTCCATCATCGGAATCAAAGGCAGTCAGGTCAAGCTGGTAACGAAGTATCCCTCCGATCCCTCCAAACCCTCTGCAAAACTGAGACCCTTCCTGTGATTTGTTGGTTACAAACTCAAGCGCACAACCAAAACGCCGGTATTCATTAGCCAGCCATTCTAGTAACGACATCTTCTCCTCCACATCCAAGTCGTTGTTGCCTTCTTTGAAATTCTCCGTGTTCCCCTCTTGTTCTTTGTTGAAGTGCTTTATCACCATTTTGCCGGTTGTAATGTTCTTCAACACATATCTGTTGATGTCAAGATTTTCCCACACAATCAATGTTTCAACAGCACCAGAGTCCAGAGCGTTCAATGTGTCATCCACGCCAAAAACATACTTCCCGGTGTCCTGGCTTATCTCCTCAAAGTACTTCCCAATCAAACGCTTCTCTTGAATGAATTTTACATTCGCCAAGATTTCAGATGACAGCTCGATGGCCTGATTGAAGCCGTTCTCTCCTCCATATGACACATCCACCACGTTTAGTATCTTTGCAGCGAGACGGGGATCAAACATATCTGACTGACTCAGTTCAGTCTTGAAATCCGCTGAACCGGCAAGTATCAGGCCAGCCACGTTAGGTTGGCTTGTTGCAGGATTGATGTAGTACTGTGTGGCAAGCTCAGCAGTTTTCCTCACGTAATTGTGACGCTTCTCCATACGGAGACGGGCAAACCGAAGAGCTGATTGTCCTCCTCTTCCGTGTTTCTTCGGAAGATCAACAGAAAACTTGTGAAGCACCTCTCGGGTGTTACCGCTCAGAGTTCCAAAGAGAGTCCCGTTTCCGTCCATCACAATGAAACCAAACTTGTCATCAGACTCCAGCAATTCGTTCAAAGCTTCGGTGTGAAACTTGTTGTCACAGAGGTAGAGTGTATTGTTTATTGGCTTGAACGGCTCAAAATCAATCGTAACCTTCTTCTCTTTGCCTTCGTCGTTGACAATAGTGCCAGTGTAGAGCACGAGGCCATTGGGAGGGACCTTGTTGTAAAGTTTCAGCCTTTGCTGGGCAGAAGTAATGGCGCCCAAAACAGATTGGCGATTGACTCTGCTCTTGATGTTTGATGCGGTTCCATACTCATCACCCAACATCTTGGCAACACGAGAGACCTGATCACGCGGAGGCATGATGAGTGAGATCATGCTAGTTCCATTACCTCTAGCAGCTTCGAGGGATTTAATCAGCTTCTTAATCTTCCATATCTCAATGTTCTTGTCATCACCATGATTGTCTCCCATTGTGAAAGCAAACAAAAAAAAAAACCTGCAACAAACCAAACCAGAAGCTTAGTTAATAACAAAGTCTTGTACAATTATTAAGATATTATATATTCAACAAATAGAAACTAGAGCAAGGAAACAGAATCATCAATTAAAATATCACCAAGAAATTATACAGTCATGTCATGTGACCGAGTCAAACTTTTGCAATAATCTTAATCCTAACCAAAAACTCAAAACTGAGTAAAGATAGAACTACTTCTCCAAACGAATTTATCTAAATTTGAATAGAGAGAAAAAAAAAACAATTCAATATGATGATGATCGGAACAAAAATTTG